AGCCAGTATGGACGAGGTAGTGGGTAATAGACAGGTAGGCACCTTGTCAACATTCACATCAGCGCATCCACACCGGGGAGCTCAAGCAACATCTACTTCTGTAATACAATGTTACTCATCACGCAGACAAACGTACCACATACGCCGCCTTATTGGCCTGGATTAGTAAATTGAATGGGAACATACTCATGGTGCTTCTATTCCGCATACAATAGTGCCTTCTCCGGCACCTGAGAAACCGCCCTTTTGAGCAGTCCACGGAATTCGCATCGATCAAATTTGCCTTGGATTCGCAACACCTGAAATCAACATGAGTTTGTCATAAACTCACCTTCTTCATGTTCTGGTAATGTTATTTTCGGTTTGCTCGAATGTCGTTTTACTGCACTAAGTTAACCGTACAAAAGCGGTATGAAGATCCTCGTGGAATTCATTCGGTATACATATATACATAGATTGGCGTCATCTGTGTCCAATGGCAGTTCGAATACAACATATGTACATGCGTTTATCCAAACTTAAGTGTGAGCTGTCACAAACTGGATAGAGACACATTAGATATCATCATCAATGGTACGACAAACGTGTATGGGTTTCGTTTGGAGGTCAGGCTAACAATCACTTTCGCAGGCATGAGAATAACTACCCAATACGAACTGTTGATGTTTTCTTCAACATTTGAACTTAGCCTTAAATCTTGGGCATCCATATTTGAAGGAACCCGATGTGGCAATAGTAAAGCAACTGCTAGGTAGAATGATGACTAGACTACTGGTACAGTGAAATAGTGTGCACTTAGATGTTGCCCTCTACATGTACACTCTGGTTTGAGTAGCTGATGGGGGAGATCACACAGCATGCGAATGCGATACAGTGTCCACTTCTGGCTCTCTGTGTCTCCGACCGTTTCGGTCATGTGCTGCCCGAGGTATGTGCACCTACTCAAAGAACGATTGATGCGCAACCTTTGGTATTGACAAGTGACATCAACTAAGTCCCGCTGCCCACTGTCAAACATGCGACTTTCCAAACAGTGTTCGCATTTATTGTGCAAATGTCCAAGTACTCAACCGTTTGTACCTACCGACCTGTACTCTACTGTGGCCATAAGCTATTTGCTAACGGTCTATATCGTACGTTTCGGGTGCAGCCATTCGGTGCTCATAAAACCATTGTCGCTATGCGCCGATTCATTTCCGATGTTATATAATAACACACTGACGTACCATTCCCGTTAGATTCAACCTTTTACTTAATCCATCCAAAAGATTGGCCATGTGCAATGCAACTTCTGGTAGGCGTCTCTGCACGTCTGTCTTCCATCCGGTTAGTACGTGTGTTTTCATAGGCCCCGGTAAATTCAGTATGGCTGAGGGATAACTGGAACTATAACTATACTCACTCTCTTCACTAGCCTGCGGAGTGGAACATGGAATGGCAATATCGTGATAATCGCTAGTCGGTTAATTGTCGGGGTTGTTCACTTTACACAGAATTACCAGGGAAATTTCTCTTCGAATGCATAATCCAAACTGGTCACACGAAGGACAATGGTTGAGCATTGTGTTACAAATGTCAAATTTGACAATTTATGCGTACTGTAAACGGCCAACCGATAATAACCTTTTGATTCAAACTTATCCATCGAACTGGAAACATACCCAATAATTTGCCACCCTAGCATTGATCCGTAGCAAGCACACAAATCGCTCGGAAATACCGCACTCACATCAATTACGAATGAGCCCATGGATGGACTGAACCATTAATCTGCGATGCACCGGCTCTCTAAGCATTATGCAAGTTGGCATTGAGCAGCTAGTAAAGCTACAGTTATGGTGAGCAATACCATGGAGCTGACATAGTGTTATAAAATCGCTGCCGATTAATAATACTACGAAAATGAAGATGTCCTAGCTCACTCTCGATTTGTAACCATACTAGACACCGCTTGAGGAGGTAGCAAGAATAGCATAGCATAAGTCATGATGAGTACAATATCGTACTGGGCAACATGTGAAGTCATCGGGAAATACAACCGAGTTAAATAAGCCTAAAAAAGTTAGGTTACCTGTGGCTCATCCGTTCTAGGCAGGTGCAATAAATATACCCCATTGCACCAAGTCAGTAGTTAATGATTCTAGAATGAAACTGCACCCAAGCCCTACTTATATGCGGAATATGGATGACACCAAAATGAAGGACGGAGATGGCGTAAGCAAATTTTCAAGTTAGCATGGAAATGGTGTGATTATGTCCACTGCAGGCTATCCGTGTCGTAAGGTAAAACCAGAGCCGGTAATAATCATCTGTTGTCCGAGGTGAGCGAGAATCAACAGGGAGGTAGAACCACTGCGTGGATTACATGCACACTAACGTGCAAGCGGGTGAATGGGGTCAAAGTGGTGTTCAGGTTTACAGAGTGCGAAACGCAATAGAGCGTGCAGTGCGAAGTAGGGCTTTGCAGTGTGAGCGGTCCCGTACAATTGGCTGCACGCGGAGTGTCACTCAAACTGTCGAAGCTGAAGGGCGACATGAAGGCGCCCCTCATAGCTGTGATACCGCGGTGATAATGTATGAATGTGCTCAAACAGAATTGGGACCTGCAATGACTTGATCGAAAGTGCATTATTGCAAAGGCGGTATACACATTGCTAAGATAGACACGTAAATTACTTGGGTGTTCAAAATCGAGTGTCGTTAGCCGGCCGGACCCGGACCTCGGGCCGTAGGTTGGTGACCTCTGGTCTGGTAGGATGGTGTGTTCCAAGTCATAATACACGTTGTACTCTGTGACAGGGCTCCTACGAGGACACAGTGACGGTATCGAAGCGGTTGTATCCGGATGTTCAGTGGGCTCGTACCACCATATGATTGTGAATGCATGAAGTGTTGTAATGGGGAGTGTCCATTTCCAGATGTAAACTTCCAACCAGTCATTGGTCAGCCAAAAAATATCCATTGCTTTTACTTGTTCCGAAAAACGATTGGCCGTAGCTGTAGACTGCGCTCGATTTTGTTATAAATCTCAGTAGCGATGTATCAAGTAACCTAGTGAAGCATTATATAGATTAAATCCAATATAACATAGCATAAAAGCGACATAGTACGTACAATATTGGCATTTGACCAGCGTCACACCAGCGCGATCCAACCGAACCTTTTTGAACACTTTTGTCAGTCGTGCTAGACCAAGTTCATGGGCTAATTGTTTGGTCGACGAGCTACAGCTGATTACATCTACACTCATGGCGGATGGTTAGTGTCGCTGAATTCAGTCCTTCAGGGACAAGCATTTATCCAACAAAGTCAGCGCAGCGCAAGTAACAGTATGTTTGGCAAGCAAAACTCATCGATACAACTTGCACGTTGACGTCCATAATTAACGACCCTCCTGAGTCGATGAGGTTCACCCATTGACTTAGTTAAACAAACGGTGAGTAACTCACACGAATGTCGGACAATCCGTGTCCAGCAATCGAATTCGTTACATCCGTTCCCATTGGTTGTCTGGCTCGCTCGTTTGGTCCATCCGTTCACTAACATCCCGGAGAAACACAGCAAACAGCGAGGCCCAAAGTACTTGGTGCATACGTCAGCCAAGAAGGCGCTTTATATCGAGTTACCTTATAAGGGTGATTTTTCTGTTGAAAACCCCTACATGTTCAATCACTGTTACACCGAGCAGTTACAGTACTCTTCAATTTGTGGTTAAAGAAAAACAGAACTCTTATTCTGTCAGTGTTTCCCACAAAGGAAGCACAGCTAATTAGAGGCAACTCACACTGCATATACCAATTCGCGTGTAACACAACAGCCAGTTACAGAGGCAGAAGTGATAGCTTTTGACTTCTCGGATAAAAAGGAACACGTGCCAACGGCAGCGTGATCAACATCCCTGCCCGTGAATCTTCGTGCTCTAGCAGGCCACCAGTTTCCCCAATAAGTAAACACCTACTGGTCATGCGCCACAGAATACAGCTCGAAGCTGTGTGCAAAATTGGGTTACGTTATCCTGTTCCCTGCTTCCTTCGTTTCACCGAGTCTGTTATAATAAGCCGGATGAAGCTGTAAGTTCAAAGATATTATTTATCAGTTTAAGGCATCCATGGACACAGGGTTGGAAATTCCGTCATTCATTTTGCGCTTCAAGGTTGTGGGATCATACCCATAGTTGCATGACGGTTATTGTTAACGGTACTGCGGAAACAATAAGAAATGCATACATCTACCAACTTTGATCCTACTACCGTATTGTTCAAATTACTAAAGGGAAGTAACGACGTTCAATAAAAGTTTTCGCCAGACCCACGCACTAGCCATGCAATGCTTCCATCCACAGCTGCTGTCCAACACTTGCCTGTTTATAAATTATCCCCATTTGAGTCAGAAGTAAGCAAATGCGCAAAGAATATTCTTTTCGATAATTCGCATCGGGCGTGTACAATTATGAAGCAAAATTTTGGAGAGAATGAAGCCCGCAGAGGCTTGCTCAAGCCTTTTTGGTTGGGAGGTGCAACACCGAACCACCTCCAATTCGGATACGGTCCTTGTAATCGTGATGACCGAGGTCTACTTTAAAGAGGACCGAGGTCTGAACAGAGATTGCGAGCCGCAATCCAACCACACTGCGGGTACACAAAATGCAACTTTGAACATCGGAGTTTGTTGATGGCGGTTGATGCGAAGGAGCACATACAGGTTCATCAGCATCTCCCAATAAAAATTCCGCCATTCAAGTTCGGTGTGTTCTTGCTGCCCAAGGCACCGTGTAATTCTGAGCGATACACCACCTGCCTATTTTCTCAGATGTTCTTCCCACCTATTCTCTTAGTCGTTTCATACGCCCCGACGGATATAAGATTTGACGTTTCTTTGTGACCACCAGTAAATTACCTATTTGAGCGAAAAACCCACATAGTGCTTGCAGTTCATCGACATCTTCCTCTGGTTCTGAATCCCACCTTGTTTTCCATCCGTACCCCTTACCCCTACAAAAGTCTGCCCTCGGGGCTACTACGGCGAAATGTGCGCAAAAACTTGTGTGGGATGTGATTCCTGTCACTTCGAAACTGGCCAATGCCACTGCGAACTGGGACGACGTGGCGAGCATTGTCATGAAAGTAAGTGGGCTTTTTACTTATGTCAAATATTTGTATGCCCCGAAGGTTTGGAATGGCTTGGCTGAAAGTGGTCATCCACCCTTACGGTAGTTTGCCGTGCATAAGATGCAGTGTGCTCTTGTATGGCGATCAGATTGCTCTTACTGACTTGCAAGTAGATCTTGGACTGGATGGTTAATACTTTGCCTTTCGAGTTACGCATGTTGGTAATTGTCTGTCCATCAGGATCACCAGTTTGCTTTACGTGCCTGGTTGACGTCGGAGATAGAAAACAAAATATGCACTTATGAACAATTGTTAGCGAACAAACTGTTTCGGATGTTTGTGAGTAAAGTTTGTAGAAAGTAGAAGTCACGATTAAAATCCACGCACAATAATGTGCCTCGACAGTGAATCGAACCCCGGTCTACGGATTTCCAGTCCACTGCTCTACCACTGAGCTACCAAAGGGCTGACGACTAGGTACGCAAATTTTAACACATGACTTCTGCTTGGTGCGCGACGTATTGCCAATGGGCTCACAGTACCTGTCCTGGTGACTTCTACTTTCTATAAACTTAACCCTACACACAAACATCCAAATTTAATCTACTATTGCCCATTGGACATTCGAAGGACAGGTACTTCAGCCCATTGGGAAGTGACGGGTGAGTGAGCCAATCTGCAACACCAGGACAGGTACTGTGAGCCCATTGGCAAAACGTCGCGCACCAAGCAGAAGTTATAATATATTCCGGATGGCAGGTTAGAGACACGGACGAGAAGTCCCGGCTACAAACGAACGACACGTGAGAATCAGCGACCGAGTAACTAACACAGTAGCTCGTACGAAACGGCAATCATGCAAAACGACGATGCTTTAATGAGTCGACCACAAAAACGAGCAAACTGGACCGAGACAGATGTATTCGACAGCGCGGCATGCGAACAGCGTGGTACACGGCAAGCAAGTATATAAACAACGAGTTTACAAGGAACAGGTACTGGGGCTTGGCTTTTGATTCCCTTCATTCATTGTGCATTCGGTCCGCCAAGCCCTGTAAAATAAGCAAAGGAGACATTAGTCATGGCGGTCAATTTAAACAATACATTGCGGTTTCAACTGTACTAAAAAGTCATGTGTTAAAATTTGCGCACCCAATCGTCAGCCCTCGGTAGCTCAGTGGTAGAGTAGCGGACCGGAAATCCGTGTACCGGGGTTCGATTCTCCGTCGAGGCACATTACTGTGCGTGGCTTTTAATCGTGGCTTCTACTTTCTACAGATTCAGTTTCCGTGGTTCTTCATCAGGCTGACATGCGTTGATGCGGACGACAGCGCTGTCCACCCGTTAACAGCTCCTCTCCCCAAAATTCACTGTGAAAAATGTTTCTATCTTCGTTAGGAGGGTGGATTATCAACCTAACCTTCAATAAGAGTGCCCATGCCTCACTCGCCAACCAATAGTACAACAGCGTATGCTGAAAAAAACCGATAGTTTTAAAATACCCACGTGACGATAAAAGTAAATATACGCAAATCAAAGTGTCTAGGCATGGCACGCGAAATATCCGTATTCTATTCATTTTGCTTTGTCATGCTATAGGGTATAGTACTTTGATAGAATCTTTTCGCATGTCTTGCTGTCTGGTGGGTTCACCACGTGTTGGCAACGCACTGCAGGAGGTACACATCCTAAGCGAGTACAATAAAACCTCATGAAATTCAAAGGGGAGTGTTTAGTTGATAGTTGCAGGTAGTGGCCACGGCACCTTTTGTAAGGGGCTAGGGTCAGCAGTGAATTACATAGGTGATCACTCTCAGTTAGTATCCGGTATGTGAGAATGAGATCTCCGCGAAGAAGTCTGTATTCTGAGGACACACGAGTAAACGAAGGCGCAGTTCATAACTTAGACCGGGTAGTCCACTTGTTGCCTTGGGGTTGCTTCAAAAAGCGAATGTCTCGTTTTAACCATGGACTCCAGGCTTGAACCGCATACTCATCATGAGGAAGAACATGCGAGATAATCAGTATGGGTACTTGACGTCGCACAAAGATATCCAGGGCTCGCCTCAATAGCCTCAAGTTCAAGTTCGTTACATTTGCAGCCCTCGAAGATTGGAGCGAAATGCTCGGACTGTCTGATACGATAATGTTTAAGTTTCTTTCACTGGTCACATGTGGTAGTATGTGTTGTGCCAAAAGTTCTGTGTTGTAGGTGGTGCGCAACGTCAGCAGGTGGAACAATGCAGGGTTCAGTTGGAGCTGACTCATTTCTGCCCGTTCGTTTATCCGTTCCAGATCGTTCTGAAGATAGGTATGGTTGGATGTTGATCGAATTGATCTCCACATCTTAGCATCACTTGCATATATTTGCACCGCGGCTAGCATGCTTGTTTGGAGGTTATTGATGAGACCATGTACAGTAAAGGTCCAAGTACGGATCCTTAAGTTACACCACTGGAGACGCACTTGCTTTCCGCGTCGGACATTCTTACGCTGAATGTCCTGTCGCTTAGCTAACCTTCTAAGCAGGTAACCTGGGAACAGTTGGTACTAGACATCAAGCTTTCGGAGGAGAGCTAAGTGATTGAATGTGGAAAAGCTTAGAGAAGTCTAAATTAATCTCAACTGTTGGGACTCCTTCGTCAAGCACCCCAGTCCATGAATCCCGAGCCAGAAGCAGATTGGTCAGACAAGATCATGTGTCTGAAACTATGTTGGAGACGCGAAATAATTTGCGGACACGAAATATTACATCACTTCATCTGCGATTATCGACTCCATCACTTTTGATAAAAGCGGAAGGATAGTAATAATTCGCCAGTTGGCAAGGTCCGATCGATTACCTCTTTTGTATATCGGCGGTTGGGAGTGTATGGGAGTCAAGCAGACCATGAAAAAAACGCTTCAAAATGAGCTACTATGGCGGATACAAGGGTTACAAGAACATTTGGACAGATTTTGTCGATTCGTGGGACACTATTGGCCCTGCGGAAGTGTAACTTGCTGGCGACAAATGCTGTGGTGAACATGACACTAGGTAAACCGACGACATTTACTGACGCGAAGGTTCCATGATGTTGGTAGCCGCTGAGCCAAAACTGCAGGACCAGTGTGTTCTCCGTATCCGCAGCAGTAGTCGTTAAGCACATGGCCATCTTGAGTGGTGACGTTGCAGTTCTAACCTTTCTTTGTCACTCACATGCCTGTGACGCAGTTTGGTATTGCTCGCAAAGTTGAGTACCACAGTCTACGGTCATTCGTAATTGTCCGCTCAAATGAGTGACGTGCAGTAGTTTCTGATTGTTTTGTAATTCTGCTATGAGGTATCACATCAGCTTAGCCTACGTTACTTCCAAATCTCATCCCTTCTGTTGATCCAGTTACGTGTGCCGCTCCGCATCCAACCGTTCGTCCGGCGTGGTACTCGTAATGGATGACGTTTAGCGTTGCTTGTGAAATTCACGCTTCATTTCATCCCAGGTCTCATTTGCTGAGCTACGCAGCTGGAGGTCCCAGTCAATGGTTGTTGCTATGGTGTGAAGATTGAAATGATCGGTATTAGTTCGTTGAGTTTCTCGTTCTTCATCAACAATGCTGGCAAAACCCACGTAACCAAATGTCAGAGCTAAATGGTCGCTACTATTTAATAGAGGGTCGGATGTTACTGACTTAATCATCAACTCTTCACTTGCCAGGATTCCGTCCAAACTTGGTCGCTTGTTTGAACCGTGAGATCTGGTAGGTCGATGCGCATGGTTGCACAAGTCGGACTTATCCATGATGTCAAAAGTTTTGATTTGTGTGATAACCCACAGTGGAATCCGTCTCATATATACCACCTCCAAATGGTGATATCCGCTCTACTCCGTAGACTAACACGGATTCGTCAATTACGCACCCGGGAAGAACAGGCTGATTTTGGCCAAGGTCGAGAGTGTGTAGACTACATGTTTACGCTCTGCTTACAATTACTGCCAGCCTATCATTGTCGCCCCCTAACACATACGGGCTGTGTTCAACTTTGTTGATCAGGCTGATTTATGACCTCTCTGCAATAGAATGCGGTGCCCAAGAAGTAAACCGTGCTTCACGCATTATAGCGCAATAACTCTGACAGAATGAAGGCTTTCCATAAGCACTCTGCATCCTTCACCGTTACTATCAGTGTGTGATGGGGATGTCCTTTGTCTCGTTTCTCCTCGTTTTGGCCATTGATGATGTCATATTGAGAGCTGTGGAAGATCTCCAGGATGCTGGCAAACAGCATCTGCAAGACCACAGCACGGCTGACCTGGACTATACTGATGATAGGTGACTACCCCCAGAGTATACAGTTCATAGGAGACGGCCTCGCGATTGGAGCTACCAAGTATGGTATCTCCTTTGATCCCATAAAATGATAAGTCCTTCTCCAGGGTTGGCATCCACCTGGATCCAGCGAAGACTGTTAAAGGCATGCAGCTTAGACAACTGCACATTTGCATCAACCGTTGGAGCTGCGTTTCTGCTGTTGGCCACATTGAAATGGAGGTATCTCCTCGAGAGCTCTATGTCTACTGTATAGACGGTTGCTCGAATATATAGTTGGCGGCAGCCGGGTTCGTATTTGCCTGTCACCGTGGGCTACACGTGGACAGCCACAAGGCGCTTGCGCCTACAGAGGGACAATGGGTGGCTTGCGCTGCACCACCCACAGCTCCAACCACACACATCAAGTCCAGGGTAAACCCGAGGGAATAACACCGAGAGGCATGTGGATGGGAGACACGTTTCATCAACGGAGCCGGCCCACACTCCTTCACAGGCAAACACAAGCAAGCTGTAGTTGGGGAATCAAATACACACAAGGAGGTGGCTGGACGATAGTCCGCTCCACACTGAGTGCATGGAACCGCTCTTCGAGCCTAGCACGGCCATAAGGACCGTGCACCCCGTCCTCTCCAGCACCGACTAACTGTCTCCTGGAGCCAGTATGGAGGAGGTAGTGGGTAATAGACAGGTAGGCTCCTTGTCAACAAGCACATCAAGCGCAGCCACACCGGGGATAGCAAGTAACAGCCAATCACTTGACAATAGCAAATAAAATAAATCGGATAATGAATAGAGATAGGGTGACATAACTCTTCACTAAGTGAGCTTATAAATAAATTGGTTACGAACAAATCCGCGATAAGTTCAAGACGTCAGAAAATGCCACAACCGCGAAAATGTTATCGAAGTTAACTACAATTAGCTTAAGCAACGTGTGCACGTTTCTAGAAGCTAGTTCAGGTAGACATTAATACTAGCTGAAAATAGCTTTAGGACAATATAGCAATGCCCACCGCCTAAATAAACAGAAGCAGCATGCAGGCACGCGAGTAGTAAATCGTATGCAGCGTACCTACAAAGGCTGCGCCGGTTCTGCCTACGTTCTCTGCAGGACGCGTCGTCGATTCGGTGGTGGCCCGGGTGGCTTCGCTCATAGCTCGCTAGGCCTGCCTGACTTATGCTTATATATATATATATATATATATATATATATATGTATATATGACTAATTAGAGGAAGCAAAGCTGCCTAAAACTATGTCATCACCATACACACATCCAAAAAGTTTTGGGGGAAATTGGAAGCATTTCGATGTATAAACAGAATAAAAGGGCAAGAATATTGCTCCATGTAAAACAGTCCGGACATCACGAAAAGTAACGGAGCTTTTATCTTTCAACTGGGTGAAACAAGAGCGATTTGGGAAATATTTGTCTATCAGGTCGCACACTGCTGGCTGAACACCATTCGCGGATAGCTCACTGAGCACTTCCAGAGGCGCTGGAGTTATCAAGGAAGTGGGGCGACACAGTCTTGCATTTCGTATCTAATGCACTTGATACTGCGAAGATGAGATATGCCCCGGTATCCAAGGTGGAACGTCAATTTGTAAACAAATTGAGGTAGGTCCTCAACCGGAGTGCTTCCAAGGCACAATTAGACCCTCTATGACTTTCAGCATATCGGATAAAGTACCTGTGACTCTCTTCCTTCTTTTTTGCGCAGATTGTCCAGCTGGTACCTTCGGTGCACAATGTTCGGAGTCTTGCAGGTGTGAAAATGGAGCTCACTGCAACCCCAACACCGGTCAGTGTCAATGCCCCATTGGATTTTATGGGCCCACTTGTGCCCTGAGAGATGGTGAGTGAGTGACAACCTTCAGTTTGGTTCGTCTAAATAAGTGTTGGTGTAGGTCAAGTTGCAGTACAAACGGTCTATGGGAACAGCTCACATACCATTTTACCCAAGTAAGCTCGCAGTTTACCATAATAAGGTGATGACAAGTCGTACAGCGGCACCTTTGAAACGAGCGGCGTTGCACTGCTCCCGGATCCAGCTACATGTACGGTGACAAGCTGGAGACAGTGTTACTGCGTTAGGACCTCATCTGGTCTCCACAAACGTGGTCGGCTTCCAGCAGATTAACAGAGACTCACACGTGTTTGAAAAACAGCGACACTTCACATGGTGCCCAACATTACATTTTATAATGTCATATCCAAAAAGTTCGGAATTCTGCCTCCGAATGATCTGCTAGAGATCAGCAACAAAAGTGATGATAATCTGATTGCCGTAGCAAACCACAAAAATCCTTTACCGATGGACACAACAATGTTTGGTGTCCCTGGGGAAAAGAAAGTAACAATACTAGTTTGCTTTCATTCTTCTTTCCTAGTTTCCTCCCATCTGCTCCCTTGTTTAGCTATTCAGGGACAGAGTAAACGTTGAGCTCCGATAAAAATCCAGTGACTAATTTCTACCATACACCAAGTTGTACAACTTCAATCTTATCGTTATTCCTGACTGGTTCTTTCATTTTATTTAACGCTCTCCACTTCTGTTCTTGTATCTTCCAATCGCATTTCCCCGTGTTTCACAATTGGCCATTCATTGTCCATGGCATTTAAGGCTAATCGTTTGCTGCTGTTCCAACCCCATGCAATCGCGGTCGGTTCCTTCCGCCATCAACCGGCCAAGCGGTGATAAATGCTCAGTGGTCGTTCCAGCAGACTTTTATCTGTTTGACGTCCTTCTAACTATTAGCAAGTACCTTGATTTTCTTACAGTAGGAATTGGAAAATCTAGGTGTGATCCCACCGTGTTTGGGACAACCCTATAAGGCTAAAATGCCTTTGGGCGCAGCTTGCTTCTAGCGCTAAACTACGACATCTGGCTCACCGTTGTTTGATCTCCTTGCGTAGGAAGATCATGTGTGGTCGTGATGGTTAGCGCTATAGGCGAGGTCACCGAGTGTCGTTCTGTCGATGGAAATGAACGATCTTCATCGTAATGCGAAATGCGATGTGATTAAAAAAGAATAGGCACAATGAAAAACTGTTACTAACTCCCTAAGTCTTGCGATGGGTATTGTTGGCGAAAGTTCAGAAACGCATCCATTGTGACAATTACCTTCAAGTAATGTCGCTGCGAACTCATGTCGCAATTCCGACCACCTACGTCTAAAGGATACGAAGAAGAAAGAAGCGACCATAGAATAAGCAGTACTGAAGGCTTCTTCAGAAATCGGGTAACTGAAAAGCTGGTTCCAGTTAAATGTGGTGCGCCTTACCCTATGTGACGCAACCCATGCGCATAACGGGTACGCAAGCGTCTAAAATTGAAACCTGGCGTTTTCCGGACTTATATATGATCATCTTTTGCATTCGAACGAGCTCAAACGCGTTTGTATCCCCTCGTGTTTAAGGACAGTTGTGCTGGCATCAGGAAAATTAGCAAACTTTTAAGGTTTTATTTTATGGAGAAATAAATGCATAGTGTGTTCACGCCTGTTCCACCGTAGTTAGAACTGCGAACCACTGAAAGCTAGTAGAGATTGTAATCGTTAAATGTGACGCAAGCTGTAGATGAATCAGGCGGCGGAATCTGAGTCAGAGTGCGTATTTTCCATAATGGATCTACTATTGCTTGTGGAGTTAAAGTAGAACACCTTACTGTTGTAACCATTCTACGGCGATAGGTTTATGGCGCTTTCTGTGGGTCAAAAAGTCAGTTTGGATGATAGCGGTACATTATTGCTTTCTGACCACAGCGTTAGCTTTGATCTGGTTACCACCATTCAAAATGACCCAAATGCCTAATTTATCAGCCAAATATATTCTCTTCCACAGAAATGGGCAGACGACGCTGATGGAACGTCACGGATCAAACGTTTGACTTTACCGGAGATTCAAGCAATCAGTACCCCTTTTGTATACTTTGAGGCGTCAAATTTACTCGACTGTCGTTGTGCAGATGTTCAGGCAGCGGCATCTTGGCCATTAAGTCCGGTTGAGTTATTCGTAATTGGCCACCGACTCCAGTTGAATTGAAGCGGAACAGCCCAACACCCTTTTTTATTCCTTGACTTTAAACTTTCCGGACGCTGTTTGTATAGTCTCAAAACAATACCCGTCTATATGCGCACGCATGTCTGTCGTGGTGCATGGCGAATTTTACCACAATCTTCATGATATAATTTGTATATAGTAATTAATAAGTGCACTGTTAACAAATTTTTGTTACGACATTTGCTACCAGCAGAAATATATCCATCCTACGTGGTAAGGTGTTAAACATTTGCCAAGCCAGTTGCTTATTTCCTGTGTTTCGATCAGTGATAATGTGGCCACAATCTTGTTGCTCTTCGGCCTGTTATAAGCACTTGGTTTACAATCCCTAATTTTTTGACGCCCATATACTTCTGGCACACCGTGCCCAGTTTATGCGATTTGACTTCAAAGGATGTATGGAGATCATGAATCGTATAGCAAAGCCTCGGGGCACCTTTGCTAACCTTCGCCACTTATGGCGCCGGCGCGACATCACTCTTGCCCTGAAGGGTAGAGTGTACAATGCAGCGGAACGTTCGCCCCCTGCTGTACGGTTGTGAAACCTGGCCGCTTAAAGCAGCGGACCTGAAGAGGCTAGTTACGTTCGACCACCGGTGCCTTCGCAATTTAGTTCACATCTGGTAGGAACACCGCGTAAGAAACGAGCGTGTTCGACGCCTTGTTTGTGGCACAGGAAAAGGAACTGAACCGCTCAGCACCGTTATTTCAAGCACCAGGCTCCGATGGCTCGGCCACGCGTTACGCATGCCAGCCCACCGACTCCCGCGACGTGTATTGTTTGCGGGCCGCAGGTGTGGATGGAAGAAGAGGAGGGGTGGCCAAGCGATGACTTGGTCCAGAGAAATGATGGCCCTCAGTTCTGAGCTGGCCTCGGTTGGAGCTTCCCGGCTGCCTGGTTGGGGTCCGAAAGACGATGAACACGTTTGGTTGGACACATATGTGATATGGCTAGGAGCCGATCTCAGGGGCGTTTGTGCTGTGAGTTTCTTTGTCCCACCCCATCCCTCTTAGCCTCCCCCTCTAACCACGATCTTATTATTCAGCCTTATATAATTTTGCATAGTAATTTTTTTTGATGCACAGTGGCGGGCTGGTAGCTTACCGGAACGATGCCCATCCGTTACCGGTAGCTCAGCCAGCTTGCACCAGTTGAATATTTTTCTCCATTTTTCTATGTATTGCGGCACAGTAGCTGTGGTGTTCCCCACCTCTAGCTAACGTGTATGATGAAGATGATGAACTGTGAAGGGCTCGTTTTTCACATTTACCGATCAATCATCGCAGTATAGCTCGGCTGTGAATCAGGAGGGACAAGCTCGGAGGATATGCCTGTGTGGATGCCACTGATGTCACTTGTGGTTGTCGAGTTGTATTGACAAGGCTTCACGAACATGCATTGCGCACTAGGAACAATCGTGCGCATCGCAGTCTGCTTATCATCCACTGCTTGAAGATAAAGGAAGAAATGAGAACCACACATGCAAGAGGCAGTGACTGAGCACCAAACTGGTTTGCCGGTTTAAGTACCTTTGCATTAAACCTTATCTGCTCCGAGTATCAAAGTGGAATGACAATCAGGCAGCTAATCAGATGCGAACCTAACAGACTCGGTCCCTTTACGCAGCGGTTGGAGCTCTTTACCTATGAGGCTCCGTTGAATGGTTAACTTTTTTATGTTATAGTGAGTTTGATTAACTGTAGGGAAGAGCCTCATTAGCGCAACAACGAGTCTATTAAGAGAAACTGCTGAAGCACTAGTCAAAGCGAATCGCAGAAAAATATGCTGTAATGTTTGCTAAGTTACCAGTTAAACTACCTACTGATCCCCCAAGGGCCAACTGTTTCAAATGCAGACACGCAGGCCCCCACACAAGACCTCATGCCGAGGTAAGAACATCGAACTCGTAGGTGAATGCCAACATTTGCGTAACAAGCAGCTACGGTTGACAAAGTAGGCTTGAATGATCGATAAATGCACGATAAGCTCCAACCGCATGAAATGTACCCTGTCATTTCTATCGATTTCCTGGGTATCACAGTAAAATATATCGGAAGGGGCACAGATGTTCAGCGACGTAATGCGTTCTCCTTCTAATGTTTTACAAGTGTCACTATGTGCACTCTGGTAACTCCCCGCGATTCTTCACTCTTGCTTGCCCATTCAGTGAATTTGGCTCAAGTAAAGCTGCTAGATTAACTTAAGCTTGTCAATGGCTCCTAATGGTTCCGTGCCGCCAAGGTTGGCTCCAGCGAGCTACAAGTGTCAGGACGTGGAAAAGATAATAACTCTGCAAGCAACTTCTCGCACCCAGACCAAGTTAGACGGCCACTGCACATTTGAAAAATCGCTGGACGCTCTTTTCGTCCTGTGTAAAGTTCTCAGTAGCGCGCATCAAGCAAATCACCGGATCCGAACCCACCAGTTTAACCTCACTGGTCAGGGACCTAGGCCATTCAGAAATGGATGACGGCGGTGGCCGCTATGACTACTTATTAAGTATGAAAACGTTCGACCAATCATCCACCATATAGTATGCTGTTATTGCAGAAATCGCTGTCTAATCGTGAGCTAAATGACCTACTAAACACGGCGTCTGTGCTGTAATAATTAAGGACGATGGGCAGGACAGATTGTACGGAAGTAACATTGATTCGCCATTAGATAACAATGCAAAAGGAAAACGTGTAACATACTAATAGGTGAACAGACAGGCAATTGTTCAGTACACTTAGTTAGACTGTGGAATATGCCTGGAATGTGCCATGTATAATTTGTCACAGGAATAGTTCCACGTGATCAGCTCAAGCAGTCTGCACTGGTTTAGGAGCGTAACTTGTGGCGAGCCGAAACAGAACGGTTGGACATTTGCGCTATAAAAAGTAATGTCCATGAATAAACAATGTTATACAAAAGGTAAGGCAAATGTAATAAAAGTATTTCCTCATTCAGTTCTACTACTGTATGTCACCAACAGTGGCAGCCTGCTCGACCACCGTGGTTACAGGCGCAGCAAACCGCTACTACTTAAATAGATAGCAGTAGTTAATTTATGAACCAGGAAATTACAGCATCGAAGCTTCGTCGGTAAATTCACACCCGTTATGGACAAGATTAGCCACATTGTTACAACTTTTAAAAGCCGCCAAAGATCGAATTAGAACTTAAGTAGCTACCAACTATAAAGTAGAATGGGATGAAGGGTATTTTGCAAGGAGCTTCCTCTCAGCCACATATCCGGGAGATATTGGGTGAGCAGTTATGCTAAACGACGGACTAGTGCTTTGACGAATATACGGCTGCTATCATACGGCGTCCGGCAGCGATGAACGTGTTCTCTATACTCAGGCGCAGCCAAAATTAAAACGCATGCAAGATACACAACATATCGATGAACTATAATCATTTTACAAGAAATTGTGAGCTACTAAACCCCTCTTCCTAGGTATGTTACGACCATGTTGGACGTCGAACTACCGAGCTCACTTAGCAGAAAATAAAGAAACCCTCTGTAACGTCACCAAACAGGCTACCACCACTCTCACTTGATTGGTCATTTTCCTTTTCTTTAATGTCCATCCTGTGCATTTAATGGATCCAAGCCTTTGTACATTGACCACCTGTGCATGTCCAGTCGCTTTGGTGATCAAGTTACGGAGCAGTTACTGTAGTTTAGGGCATAACCTTGATGCAACAAGTAACAGCGCATTTCTCTCTTCAACTACCTTCACGTCTACTGTGTATTTCGCGTCACTTACATTGCAAGAGCCCAACACATGTTACAATAATCTTAATCGTAACTGATGTAAGCCAGGAAAACATTTCTGGGTGCAATATTTGCTACTCGATCCATATGAAGCTTAAATAGTCTCGCCGGATGGGTATACAATGGTCTGTCTGTCAGACCCCTGTGTCCACGCAGGATTTGTGTGAGGTGCAGTCCCTGTTAGCAAGACTGTTGTTGATATAAATGCCATAGCTACTTTAACCGCCATAGACTAAAAATGTTACCACTATTGATGAGAAGGCAACTGCAATTGTCAAGTGCAGTTCCGCAAATAAACACCTCAAATACTGTGTTGCTATTAATTGTGGACCAACAAAATAGGCTTTATTCAGCTTCCGGCCCAGTTCTCTCACTGTGTGGCGGCGGTGTCACTGCCGCTGAGCAGGCTGTCTCATCCTTTCGACAAATTGTAGTCCCAGTAGATACTAAGCACACGCGACCAGATGCGTTTGATTCCAAAGTTGTCGTACGATTACTGAATGGTACAGCACCATATGTGGTTCTTGTCGCACACACGCCAGACCCATAAAGGTATAGTCAGCAGATTGTTCAAACTCGAATTCAAGATTTACAGCTGAATAAAACTTTCATGATGCCATTACACCATCGGAAGGGTACTCGGATTACAAATGGTTAGATCCATCCCAACCCTAACCTAACCTGAATCAGTGCAAATGTCTAAAGCTCCAAGCTTTACACGACTTAGTGTTGTACGGTGGCATATGACACTTGTAGACTAATTGTTGGTGTGCCAAGGGGGTGTGTATTTTGTTGCAGCATACTGCTAGAGTCTGGTCGCTTGGTAATCATGTAATTCGGAAGGAAAAAGATTTAAGGAAGTGCCCGTCTTCCGTTGCCTACACCAGCGACCTTTCAAGAAATCATGCTGTGAGGGCATCAAGAGGCTTTTCGACTCGAGAAGCTGAAGAAGACTCTTCTTTATGATATTCTTAAGTCCCTTTGCCAAAACAGCGGTCAGGCAGATCGGCCGGTAGTTATCTGTTTTGCTTGGG